ACACACTCACGCACTCACTCATTCACATAGGTCTGGGGATGTAGCTAACTGAGTATGCCTGAAATCCTGGTTTTGGTCCTTAGTACCAAATAAACCAAACATGATGGCTCATGGTTATATTTCTTGGCTAAATATGGAGTTCAAGGCCAGCCCAGGTTACAGGAGACCCTGTTTCTAAAACAGAACAAACCGGCCACAAACAAACCATCTTCCTAACTGTTTCCTTCCTCTGTCTTTGGATTGATTCCTTGACCTTTCTAATCTCCAATCTTCCCTTTACTTCTTCCCATAAACGAGAGGTGGAGGGCTGTGGAATGTGGCCTAGATTGTTCAGTAGTTTCTTTCGACTTTCACGGGGTCTAGATTGCAACTCAAGAGTCTAAGGGACCTTGTCTATCAGTCGTACCAATTGGAGTTGACTGGCAATAAGAATGCCACCTTAAATTCTTGGCAGCCTCTCCTAAAGGACTGAGTTTGTGATATCCACCTTGGAGACTTGGGAGTTAGTGAAGCCCTAGGGGACCACATCTGAGCTAAAGATAAGAGTGTATTCGCAGAACAAAAGGAGCCAGGAGGATGGCTACACAGCAAACCTGAGGTGGGTTTTGGATGCAGTTGCAGCCACGTTGATTCTAAGGAGTATCGTACTGAAGCATTTTTGCCTTTTTTTTGTTTTGTTTTTGGTTTTTCGAGTTTCTCTGTATTGTTTTGGAGCCTGCCCTGGAACTTGCTAGGCATGTGCCACCAACGCCTGGCTGCATTTTCACCTTCCATGAGGACACTCATTTACCTATGGGTGCAAGCTGACCACTTCAAAGACTCAGCAAACTAGTGTGAATTTGGCCGTGTCCTTCACACTCCTTCTACACCTAGATCCCTACAGGGTTAAGTCAATCCCCTTGCTTATCTGGTGGCAAAGGTGACTGGAGAACTTAGTCTTTGTTCTGGACACCCACTACATTGTTGGCACCTGGGCAGGGAAAGTGTCCCTTTTGAGAATGCTTAGCTGCCTCCTGCCTTGAGGCCTGGCCTTAAATTAAGAGATTTAAACATCTCCCTAGTCACCAGTCAGATCACAGGGGATGGCCAGTTCAGGCTATGCATCCATTGCTGCCAGGAGTCTTAGTTGGGGCCATCCTGTAGGCTCCTGGAAGTTTCCCTTGCATCAGGCTTCTACCTGACTTTGTAAAGCCCCCTCTCTTTTCCAATCATCTCCCTCAGCACTCTCCCCCTCTGCCCACCCTCCCATCCCCATCCCTCAAGTTCCCATGCTCCAGTCCAACCAGATCATTTCCCCTTCCTAGGGAGATCTGGGTGTTCCCCCACGAACTCTCCTTGTTACCTAGCTTCTCTGAGCCTGTGGATTGTAGCCTGGTTATCCTTTACTTTGTAGCTAATATTCACTTATGAGTGAGTACATACCATATTTGTCTTTCTGGGTCTGGTTTACCTCACTTAGGATGATTTTTTTTTTTTCTAGTTTCATCCACTTGCCTACAAATGTCATGGTGTCATTTTTTTAAACAATTGAGTAATAATACTCCATTGTGTGAATGTACCATATTTTCTTTATCCATTCTTCTATTGAAGGGCATCTAGGTTGTTTCCAGGTTCTGGCAATTACAAATAATGCTGCTATGAACATAGTTGAGCAAGTGTGCTTGTGGTATTATTGAGCATCCCTTGGATATATGCCCAAGATTGGTATAGCTGGGTGGGCCTGGATTCCCAATTTTCTGAGAAACAGTGATATTGCTTTCCAAAGTGGCTGTATAAGTTTGCACTCCAACAGCAATGGAGGAATGTTCCCTTACTCCACAGCCTCTCCAGTATGAGCTGTCATTTGTGTTCTTGATCTTAGCCATGCTGACAGGTAGAATCTTTTTTTTTTTTCGAGACAGGGTTTCTCTGTATTGTTTTGGAGGCTGTCCTGGAACTCACTCTGTAGACCAGGCTGGCCTCGAACTCACAGAGATCCGCCTGCCTCTGCCTCCTGAGTGCTGGGATTAAAGGCATGTGCCACCACCGCCCAGCTTGATGTCTAGTTTCTTGAATTCTTTGTATATTTTATAGACCAACCTTCTGTCAGATGTAGAGTTAGTGATGATATTGGTTGTCATCCAGTGACTGATGGAGGCAGATTCAGATACCCATGGTCAAACCTTGGGCTGTGCTCGGGAGTCCTGGTGAGGAGAGGAGGGAGGGAGGGATTGTAGTGAACAGTGGGGTCAGGAACATTGCAGGAAACCCACAGAAACCAATTGCCTAGCTCATGGGAACTCACTGAGCTTGAACCAACAGCCAGGGAGCCTGCATGGAACCGACCTAGACCCTCTGCATATGTATGACAGTTGTGTAGATTAGTTTACATGTGGGACTCCCAGCAATGGGAGCAGGGGCTGTACCTTGGTGCTTTGACTGGCTCTCAGGAACCTCTTTCTTATGCTGGATTGCCATGCCCAGTCTGAATACATGGTGGGTGGGGGTGCTTGGTCTTATGGCTGTTTGATATACCATGCTTTGCTAAAGCCCACAGAGGTCTGCCCTTTTTTGAGAGATTACAGAGGAGGGGTAGATGGAGAGGTGAAGGGAGGGGAAGGGACTGGGAAGAGAGGAGGGAGAGGAGGCTGTGGTCGGGATGTAAAATAAATTAGTGAAAATAATAATAAAAGAAGAAGAGATTTGCCAGATGTTGGTGGTGCACACCTTTAATCCCAGCACTCGGGAGGCAGAAGCAGGGGATCTCAGTGAGTTCGAGACCAGCCTGGTCTACAAGAGCTAGTTACAGAGGCAGGGTTTCTCTGTATTGCTTTGGAGGTTGTCCTGGAACTCGCTCTGTAAACCAGGCCAGCCTCGAACTCACATAGATCCACCTGCCTCTGCCTCCCGAGTGCTGGGATTAAAGGCGTGCGCCACCAACGCCCTGCTGAAGAAGAGATTTAAACATATAAGCTAAAAATAAAGATTGGTCTCTACTGGTGCCAATCATACCCTGTTCTCCACGAACTCCCAGTAATCAGTTCCTAAGCTTTGAGGTGAAGGAACAACACCTTGCCACTGGGACTGACTGGCTTGTAGGTCTGCAAAATCTCAAGTGGGCAGCCAAGGGCATGACACAGGCCTGTAATACCGGGTCGAGAAGAAGCAAGCTCTAGGCCTGCCTGGACTACATAGGAAAACCCTGTCTCAAACAAAGAAAACAAACAAAACCATTGGAAATTTTAACATGTGTCCAGGTGCACTGTGGTTGCTGGGGAGCAGGAAAGGAGGGTGTCTCCTGACAGGGACGCACCTCCACCCATCCCCCCCCGCTTCCTGCTCTGCACCTGCGAACCCAGTGAAGGGGGGACCCTTCCTGGAGACACGTACACCAGATGTCTTCCTTGTCGAGTAAGTCCACTCTTATTTCAGGAGTGGAGCGGGACTCTCCCTTGGGCATTCTAGGGTGTCACCTCTGGCATTTGCTCTCGCTGCAGAAAAACAAGTTCAAATGCAATGCACCGGGTTTCTGAACAACTGCCCGACCACAGACACCAGTTGGTCAGCAAAGCTATCTTGGGGCTGGGGGCAGGCTCTGAGGAGGGTGGTGCGGGAGGGTGGGGTGCAGGAATGGGGGTCAGAGCCCGGAGGTCTCCAAGGCCTATTAGCCAGGTGGGCGACTCTGCGCTCCATCCAGGTCTCCTGGGCTGTCCAGACTGCTGTAGAAGGCGGAGGTCCCGGGCGGGGCAGGCTGGGTTGGGAGCAGAGCAGCTGCGCCCGCCGCCTGGGAGCGGGCGCCCTCCCAGCAGAGCATGCAGGACGTGCGCGACGTGTGGCAGCCTCTGCGCAGACTTTTCCACTGCAGTGTGGGGTTTCGCGAGCGCCTCCAATCACAACCCAGCTTCATCGCGACGTGTGCAGCTCGCCGCTAGGCAGGGCAGGGCAGCGATTCTGTGCGGAGGCTTCACTCGCTAAAGGCTCATTTACAGTGTCATGCCTCCCCGCCAAAAGACCCCCTGATTGTCGCTGAATGAATGGCTTCTGGCAGTTCACTGCATGCCTGTCATGTTTCGCCAGCCTATACAAAGGGCGAATATCGGGAAAGGAAGCGAGGACATGTTCACATCCAACTAAAAGTGGCAGGGTGTGCGGGAGGAAGTGACATGAATTTAGGACCTGGCTACCCCTCGGCTATAAGCCTCGGTTTGTAGTCCGGTAGTGATGGTGGGAACAGGCTCTACTTTTTATTCACTACTTGCAGAGAGAAAGATCTATGAAATATGGTCCATGTTGAAAGGGAAAATGAAGATACCAACTGGTCACCTCTATCCCACAGTTCCTTTTCTATTGAACCTCCTTTACTTTTTTGTCCCCTCCAAGTGCCTAGCAAAGCGGTTCTGCGTGAGGGGTGACAATACTGCCCAAACATACGTTTCTAGGGGATTCGGAAAAAAAGAAGTGCTTGTGCGCGGAGGTCGCAGTGACAGCAGTGTCGGGGGACATAGTGGGTGGTGGCGCACCGGTGTGAACAGGAGGCATTTCTGACCTGGGCCTTTTGGACCGTCTCGGCCCCAAAAGCTTGTAACTGCTGCTCGGTGTTGGGGCCCCACTGTTTGAAAGGCGGAATTGGGAAGATACTTTTTAAAAAGCATCTGGAGATGCTTTCGCAAAGCACCGGCCGCGTGTGTGAGGGGTTGAGGGTCTGTCGACGGACCACATGGGACATTACCAGGTCCCTGCTCCCTTAAAAGCCCAGCTGAGGAAAGGGCTGTAATTATTTGGGGACTCGGTGCTTGGTGCCCTTAGGGGATAGGCTTGGGGGAGTAAAAGAGGCCGAAAGGAGCCAGACGGGGGTTGTAGGAACAGAGCGTGCTGCCTTCGCCTTCCCGCAGGGGGCGGCAGCAGGCTGTTTCTTGGCCTTGCCCACCCTTCTCTCCACGTGAAAGGGGGCTGGGACGCAAAGAATGCGGCCCGCCCCGAGGCTGACGCGCCGCGTTACCGGTCAGATCTTAAAAGGCCGGGCAGTGCGTGTGGCATCCCGATAGAGCAAGAGAGGAGTAAGTGGCAGTGCTGGGTGGCGGGAGCGCGGCTGTCACTGCGCTGGAGCATCCCTGAGCTTCTGAACAGAGCCGATCAGCCAGCCAGCGGTGCGCACAGCAGCAAGCCGGCGCCGATCTCCTCCGTGTCTCCGCTCAGAGAGACCGATCCTCCAAGACTTCGCACAAAGCACGTTTTCCAAAGCAGCGCGAGGGAGCGCCCAGCCGCGTGCAGGCGGACGCACCCTTCCTGTCCTTTGTTCCGGGGGGGATCTGCAACTGCTCTTCTCCCCAATTCGAGTGTCTTCTCCCGGGGTGGCGGGTCGCCGAGTGCAGCTACGAAAATGCCTTTGGAACTGACCCAGAGCCGGGTGCAGAAGATATGGGTGCCTGTCGATCACCGACCCTCGTTGCCCAGAAGTGAGTGCAGCTGCGCGGGGGGCTAGGCTGCTGACTGCGCCGCGCGCAGAGCCCGGCCATTGTGTGTGCCGCGGCTTTGTGCCGGTTCCCCTCTGCGGGACGCGCACTCGTGCTGGCCGGCGGGGCGAGGCGGGGGTGGCGGCGGGCTGCGTCTCCCGAACTGGGCTGCAGGGGCGCTGTGGCTCCGAAACCTCCGGTGTGCCCGGCCTGGCCTGAGATCACGGAGCCAGCGCCTCCCAGAGGCTGAGAAGACCCGGCGCCCGACTGCAGTTGGGGCGCGGCCGCCGTCGCCACCGCCCCTTTTCTTTGAGTCTCCTCAGGTTCCTTCTCTCCCTCTCTTCGTCCCTCGTATCTCTCTGCACCTCTGTGTATTTCCATATTCACCCTCACTTCCGCGATTGCAGGCTCTTGGTTTTAGGGACGGTCTATGAGTTTGGTGACTGCACACTGGTGGTGTTTCACAGGCGCGCTCGTTTACATGGAGCTGGCGGTTTGCCTTCGAGCCCCACCTGTTGCTGTCGGAAAATGATTTGGGGAGGTTTCGTTCAGTTCCATCTCTAGCTGGGGAAGGGTGCCTTTGGAAAAGATGGGTGGAATTGCTCTAAGGCGATGTCTCCCCTCTAGGCAGCGCGCCCAGGAGCCCATGGAGGTAGACAGAAGTGAGCTGCTTAGTGAGCATGTTGCTCAGACCATGTTTGTAGCTTGAGATGTAACCATGGAATCCAGTTGTAAAGCCGGGAGGTGGTTTCCTGTCATCTTGGACACACCGGGCTGCAGGGTAGGCTTTTCCACTGCCACGTTTTACAGGATGGCCACCACAGGACATGACAGCTCTTTTGGAGCAGTGTATGCCCTGAGTCACCAGCTTCCCTGTGGTGCAGTATGAGACACCTCCAGGTCTCCTGGACCTGAGGGCGTTGGTGGAACCCATCCTCAAGACACGTCTCCTTTTCTCTTTCGGACAGGGAAGTCAGGGGCAAGGACTTGACCTGTCAGACATGTTTATACAATAGAGCTGCCCTTATAAAAATGCCCCAGGGAAGCCGGGTGGTGGTGGTGCACGCCTTTAATCCCAGCACTCGGGAGGCAGAGATAGGTGGATCTCTGTGAGTTCGAGACCAGCCTGGTCTACAAGAGCTAGTTCCAGGACAGCCTCCAAAGCTGAGAAACCCTGTCTCCAAAAAAAAAAAAAAAAAAAAAAAAAAGCCTCAGGGAAGAGTCAAACCGGGTGACACACCCACAATCTCACTGCTCTGTGCCAGGTAACTGAGAAGGCTGAGGTTAAGAGAATCATGAACCCGGACTACAGAGTGAGACTCTGCCCAACAAACAAACAACAGCAAAAACAGGGAAAGTCGGTCAAGACCAAATTTAAACCTCTGTCCCTTCTGGACTTTTTAATAAAGGCAAATTACAGCGTATTTCTGGACTGAAATTTGCCACACAAAACAAGGGCTGGTTTCATATGTGTGCGTTCTTCCCTTGTTTGGGTCTTCAGGAACCGTGGCAACTTTGCAGGGGCCCCTAAGTTCAGTGGGGCTGGCTCCATAGTAACAATGAGGGACATCGTGTATCTGCGCGTCCCTCCGCCAGGCTTCAGAACCTGATCGTTATATTCCATGAGTCTGCACGTCTGCCACGGAGTTGAGAGGTTTGCTGTCAGAGCTATTCAGAGCTTGAGGTGTGTGTATCTAAAGCTGCCGGATTAAGGTGAGCAGCTCACCCAGTTCTGGAATTCTTGTGTATGATACTGGGGTGTAGCCTCAGACATCCCTTCATATACAAATATCTGCAGCCAGGGTGTTTAGTGCATATCCATATTTTTAGTGCTATCTTTCCAGTACTCAGTTGGTTTCTGACTGTAATGGAGAAAAGAAATTACTTCTTCTGTACTGACATTGGGATCTTGTAGACTTTCTTTTTTAGAGACAAGGTCTCTCTGCTATTAGTGGCCTGGAACTATTCAATTCGTGGGTGGGATTTTAAGTATGTGCTGCCACACCCAGCCTATTTTGTGGATTTCATTCACCTAAACCTTCTTTTTTTTTCCAGACACAATCCGACCTGACTTCACTATGGTGTTGAGATGACCTTAGATGTCTGATCCTCCTGCCTTCTGTTCCCAATTTTGCTGGGATTTTATAAATGTGCAACACCATGCCTAGATTACTCTGTGCTGGGGATTGATCTCAGGCTTTGTGAATGCTGGTCAAGAACCATCCTACGGCTATATCTCCAGGCCTATTACCATCTTTACATATGGTCTCCACATCAGAGGTTGGCAGCCAATGCCTGAGGCTTATTGCTAGAGGGCATGGAGAAAATTGTCCAAATAAAACTAAAAGAATAATAGAAGCCGGATGTTGATGGCGCACACCTTTAATCCCAGCACTCAGGAGGCAGAGGCAAGTGGATCTCTGAGTTTGAGGCCAGCCTGGTCTACAGAGCGAGTTCCAGGGCAGCCTCAAAAACAGAAACCCTGTCTCAAAAAAACAAACAGCCGGGCATTGGTGGCGCACACCTTTAATCCCAGCACTCAGGAGGCAGAGGCAGGCGGATCTCTGTAAGTTCGAGACCAGCCTGGACTACCAAGCGAGTTCCAGGACAGCCTCCAAAGCCACAGAGAAACCCTGTCTCGAAAAACCAAAACAAACAAACAAACAAACAAAAAAAGAGAATAATCATAGAATAAGCAACTCCCAAGTGCCAGGTGTGGTGGTGTACACTTTTAATCCTAGCACTCAAGAGTAAGCAAGATCACTGAGTTCAAGGCTAGCCTGGTTTCCATAGCTTGTCTTGGAAAAAAAAAAAAAGACCAGAGGATATATTTGTCTTTGAAGCACAGTAATTCAGTGCCAAATTTCTTCACCAACAAAGCCATTTTGCCAGTTCTCAACTTTGTATTTTTCCTAAATACATGGCAGTAAGATATCAATTTATATTTGCTTAGGATTTAGGAAATAGACTGCATTGAAGGTAGGTGGGTATGGTATTCAAAACCTTATAGAATTCTGTCTTGTTGATGCCCAGCCAGGCATATTTATAGCAGTCATTTCAGGTGAGTTATGTGACAGTTCACTTGTCACAATCAGTATCTGAAGCATCCCACTATTGTACAGACACGGAAAGGAAGACACCAAGGGGTGCCTGTGGGCAGGATTCAATGTGGTGATGAGGCTTGGCTTCTGACTCTGTATACTGGACTTTTGGCACTGCATGCTTATTAGCACTGCTGTTTTATATTGTATTACCTCCCAAAGTTAACACTGAGCCACTAAGACACCCCATTGCAGTGTGTGGTGGAGATATGGGCTTGTAAAGTTCAAGGCCATTCAATTAGATATTAGGAGACAAGGGGTCCTTGGTAAGCAGTGCAGCAGTGCATGTACACTGTAACCATGAAAGAGAGCTTTTTTTTTTTTTTTTTTTTTTTTTTTGGTGTTTCCACCACACAGGGTTTCTCTGTGACTTTGGAGCCTGTCCTGGAATTAGCTCTTGTAGATCAGGATGGTCTTGAACTACAGAGTGCCTGCCTCTGCCTCCCGAGTGCTGGGATTAATGGTGTGTGCCACCACTGCCCGGCGAAAGAGAGCTTTTTTTTAATCTAAGCATATTCTGTTTTTATTTATTTATTTTTAAATTTAATTTAAATTAGAAACAGATTTGCTTCACATGTCATTCCTAGCCCCCTCTCCTCTCCCTCCTCCCTTCAGCCCTCCCCCAACCTCTCCCCCAATCCCTACTCCACTCTCCAAGGAAGGTGAGGTCCTTCTTGGGGGATCTCCAAAGTCTGTCATATGATCTGGGGCAGGGACTGGGTCCTCCCCCATGTGTCCAGATGGAGACAGCATCCCTCCACGTGGAATGGGCTCCCAAAGTCCATCTGGATGACAGGGCTAAATGCTGATTTATTGCCTGAGGTCCCAAGGGATGCTGAGGCCTCCTCACTGATACCCACGTTCAGGGGTCTGGATCAGTCCCATGCTGGCCTCTCAGTCTGGGGTCTATGAGCTCCCCTTTGAAAGAGAGCTTTTAAAAGAGGTATCTATTAGCTGTATTCTCCCTGCTCCCACATCCCCAGGTACACTCTGCTGAGGCAAGCTCTGTGTATTACCCCCATCAGATTTGGAGGGTCCTGTAGGCCAATCTGATGGTGACAGGAGAGATGCTATCATCTAGTGAACAACCCTATGGCGCACATCGCCTTCTGTTATTGGTGTTTACTATGTTCCGAGGGCCAGGCAGGTTAAGCCCATTTCAGTGAGACCTTAGGTGTGGTAGTATACTTATGGTCAAAATAGGTCTCCTGTACACTCTTTTGACCTTGCTTGATGGAAGTATATTGAGGTAGTTCCCGTGGAAAGGCCTAATCTCAGTTCCCTTAGACAGCTGGGGAGATAGGTCCCTTTGGGGTTCACAGCTGTCTGTGCTAAACAGATTCTTCTGTGTTTTACCTTGAGCTTGTAGAAGAAGCATAACACACATGCTTGCACAAAAAGATGGAGAGAACTTAGCATCCTTTTCTAATGTTAGCATTTTGCAAAGTGTTCCCGTAGAAGCAAGCATAGATGAGGTGTGAGGGCCAGAGCTAAGGATCTTCCCAAGTATATTTTGGGAAAATGAGTTGTAGGTATCAGATGGTGGGATGGTTGGAAATCTGCTGTCTCAATGCCTCCACTTGGCCACATGTTCTCGAAGGTATTAATCAATCTAGGAAGAAGTGTTGAAGTGAGGACTCAGGCTGCACCTGCCTCTTAATTGAGCTAGACAAGCCCCGTTCAAGTTGGGGGTTTAACCACCTGTCAGGCTTTTCCTTCCCATGATTCCTTCTTCAGCTACCCTATCCTGTCGCTCCCTAGCTGCTCTTCTGCTCTTCCTTTGTGTGTGTTTACCCGCAGGAAGCTGGCGTAAGTAGCAAGACCGTGGTAAGATCTAACAATGGTGGGCCTAATCTGGGCAGGCAGGTCTGAGTTTCAAGGTACTCCTCAGGGATGCTGACCTCAGTGTGTCCACACGCCGTCTTTCCCACCCAGCATCCAGAGCGCTGGCCTCATAAATATATGAACAAATAAGCCTAATGACATTGTAGAGTGTTAGCTCAGGTCTTGGGGTATGGTGGCTTTCTGTGAATCTTACTTAAGGAACCATGACCTAAACCATGGGCAATGCTTTCAGTATGAGTCTTCTCAAACTGCCACGAAGGCCTAGCTCTCTTTAGACAATTGCCCCCCCCCCCATATTGGTTGTTTTTCTCATTACTGTAACAAAGGCAGCTTCTGGAAGGAAGTGTTTATTTTGACTAGTTTGAGGGTCTAGTCCATCTCGGATGGAAGGTGTGGTGATGGGGATGTGACAGTCGAGTCTCTGCGTCAGCAGGCCGGAAGCAGAGAGATTTGAAAGTTGGTGTTCAGCTCCCTTCATCTTTATTCAGGCCCACTCACAGCCACGGAATGGTGCCACGCACAGCTAGAGTGGGTTTAACCCAGGCTGGAGACATTATCATAGATACCCCAGGGGTGTGTTTCCATGGTGATTCTAAATCTAGTCAAGTTGACAAATGGAGATTAACCAACACACTTTAACAGAACATCTGTGTATTCCTTTATCCTTATTTAAGTTAATACCTAGATTTGTTGCCAAATAAAATAAAAAAGACCTGGTTAAAAAACATTGAACATTTGCCGGGCTTTGGTGGTGTACACCTTCAATTCTAGCACTTGGGAGGCAGAGGTAGGTGGATCTCCATGAGTTCAAGGACAGCCTGATATACAGAGCTAGTTCCAGGGCAATCAGAGCTACACAGAGAGATCATGTCTGGAAAAACCCACCAGACAAACAAACAAAACATTGGCATTTATATAAAAGGGAAGAAAGCATTGTGTTTATCTTAGGAAATCTTATGTTGAACTCAATATATTGAGGTGGTTGGGGGAAGAAATATGGAAGGGAGTGTTGTGAGATGGGGGATGAGGGATCATGTTTGGTGTCTCTTTTTCTGTGGCAAGAAAAAGTCTTTGAAGAAAAGAACTTGGGGCAGGGGCAGGGGCAGGGACAGGATGTTATATGCTCAGGGAGACCCTTGAACTAGGTTGTGAGCTCTAAAAGGGCTGTGAGGGGAACACTAGATTCATCTGGAAGGATTTATACATCTTCCCATGCTCAGATGCTTGGGTGATGAAGCTGCACTTGGTTTGGCAGTTTCCAAGAGCTCCTCAGCTCTGACAGACAAGGGAAGAATGACTTTTGCTTTGCCAACTAAGAGAGTGATCCAGCAGCACTCTGCTGAGTCTATGGTATTGCCTTTTCCCTCCCAAAGTGTCTAGTGCCAGAGATTTGCTCCTGTGATTAGTAGATAGACATAATTCCTGATCTGATAACTCAGCTGGCTTCTGCCTCTGCATCCCCAACACAGTTCCAACAGAAACTGCCCATGTACACATGCATGTGTGGGTGCCTGTTTCCAGGCATCTCTGGATGTTTTCAGAGATGGCTCAGTGGGGTCATAAGGGTGGGGAGAAGGTACCATTTTTGGAGAGACAGGAGCTACTGTCTTCTAGGTATCTGTTCTGTCCAGGGCCTCTGGAATGCGTTCATGGGGAATGTTCCTAAGGGCTGTCTTTGACTTCTGAATTTTCTTGTCTAGACAGCCTCACACTCCTCAGCCAGGCCCTCATTATTGAAGAGATCACTCACTCCTGCTTGTTATGTGTGCTTCTACTCAGACCCTCGCCTGCTGTTCTAGAAGCAAAAGATCCATGTTGGTGTCCCACCTATGCTTAGACTTCACATGAGCCTCTATCTAAATCCGACATCTGTCTAGATTGGTGGCATGACTCTCATTTCTTTCCCTGCAGGCTGTGCAGCCTGTGTCTGGGATGGGAGAAGGCCAGCTGGGCTAGAGTTGGCAGGCAGCCTCTTTGGCTTGTAAGCTCACTTGTCACCAGGATGCAAGAGTCGCCCAAGAGTCTCAGTGGCAAGGAGACAGCCAAGGAAATACTGGAACTTTAGTTTGTCTAGCAGGATTCTTTTGGCTGCTTTCTGAAAACCTCTGTCCCTGGTGTTGTGTCTTACTGAGATTCTAAGGATATATGGGGCACTTATTCATCACAGGCAAGAGTGTCTCTTGGGAGTCTTCCTGGGACTTAGTGACCGGCTTACTTAGGACCCTGTCACTGGCTATTACCTTGGCAGACTCCGGCGTCCCTCTGAACCTGGCATCCATCAGAACTTGGCAGCAGAATGGAGGGATGGAGGGGGTGGTCAGGGAGGATGTGACAGGCACAGGCATGGTGCCCAACCGAGGGACCCAGTATTCTGGGTCCCTGACCTACTTTTACTTGATAAGCTCCTACTGTTTAAATTTTTTTTCAAAAAAGTGAAGTTTAAAAAATGGATTGGTTTCTGAGGCTCACCTCTGTCTGCTTCTCATATGTTTGCTCAATTTACATACTGAGTTAGAAAAATCATCTCTCCCTACTGGGAATTTTACCTTCCTTGGCAATAGGGTCCCATCTTATAGCCCCAAGAAGAAATGCTCTGAGACTATTTTGTTAAGAACTGGAATCCCTGTCTGGGGCTCAGTTCCTCCATATCTGGTTATGCATTTATGTTTGGAACTGCCATTGCCAATTGCTGCCTGGAAAGTGAGTACTGAACTACAAGGCCAAGGGGTGTGGTCACTGGGTGGGGGTGGGGTGAAGTGTGTAGTCCCATTGGGTCATCAGATGGCAGGGGCTTTGGGATGTGGAATGGCATCATAACTTTAGCAATATTCTTTTATTGCTTTGAGATAGTTTCACATTGTTGCCTGGGCTGGCCTGGAACTAACTCTCTGTGTAGCCCAGGCTAGCTTAGAACTCAACTATGTTCAGGATCACCTAAAACACTCAATTCTCCTGCCTCTGTCGCAAGGACTGGGATTATTGACATGTCTCACCATACCCAACTTTGATTCCATTCTTCAAAATCTGTCTTTGGGCATAGGACTCTGGCCATTAACTTTTGCTCTTCAATTGATGACTTCTTGCTTGGTCTTTCCAGCCTGTGGGCCAAAGCTGACCAACTCCCCAACGGTGATTGTGATGGTGGGCCTCCCCGCCCGGGGTAAGACATACATCTCCAAGAAGCTGACTCGCTACCTCAACTGGATAGGTGTTCCAACAAAAGGTAAGCCCAGACTCAAGGCTAACAACTGCATCCTCAGGGTGGCCGCTCACAGGCACAGATGTCCTAGGTTATGGTGTCTAATCCTGTTCCCCAGTCCAATTATGACAACTCACTTCATCAAGCTCCCTGTGGTGACCTCGTTCTCTGTGTATTTTTTCCTTTGAAAGTCTTATCACATGTAACTGTGGCCTTCCATTAGTGACTGTCTTCAGCAGCTTCATCTGTGTGTACTATTGATGACATATTATACCCCTTTGTCCTGTCTTCCCAACTAAATGGGAAGTAGCTTGAGGGTAAAAATTAGCATCCCTCACTGTGCTGAGAATTTTTATATACAGGTGCTTGACTCTAGGTCTGCACGTGCTAAGCAGTGACTATTAAATGTGATCTCATCAGTATAGATGTGCCAACAGGAACGTGGCTAATTTAGACATGGCAGGGGTAATTTAGCATTAATAGCTCAACAAGTAGACTAGCCTGGCTGGTCAATGAGACCCACTTACATTTGGATACCATAAGCAAAAACCATCCTTATTTATTTTAACATTTATTTATTTCATTATTTTATACGTATGGGTGTTTTGCCTGCACATATGTATGTGTACTATGTGTATGCTTCATGCTCCACATAGCCAAAAGAGGGAGTCAGATCCCTTTGGACTGGAGTTATAGATGGCTGTGAACCTCCATGTGGGTGCTGGGCATTGAACCCTGGTCCTTTCTAAAGAGCAGCATGTGTTCTTAACTGCTGAGCTAACTCTCCAGTTTGTCTGTCTGTCTGTCTGTTCTGTCTGTCTGTCTGTCTGTGTATATCTATCATTTTGAGATAATGTTTCATAGCTCAGTGGTGTCCAATGAATTGTACAGCCACTGAGCTAGATCTAGCACCATGCCCAATGTTTTTGGTTGGTGCTGGGATCCAGCCCAGAGTTTTATCCATGCTAGACAGGTACAACTGAGTGATATCCTTAACTCCTTTTTTTCCCCCCTGGATTCTGGCTGTTCTCAGAGTCTGTTTCTGGTTTATGACACTGGGAGGTTAGGATTGGGATCTGGTCCCTAGGAGACAACTTCAGCTATAGGAAGAGTGATGGGTGCTGTCCTTTGATCTGGTCCCTGTTTCCCAGACTGTGACCTGGGGATGACAGCCTGGACTGGGAAATCCACAGTTCCCATATGAGATTCTTATTCAAATAGGTATTGGTTAGCTTTCTCTTTGGTTTAGCAGTCTTGTTTCTGATGGCTCATCCAGGACTGTCCTTGTCTTTCTTGTCCAGTGTTCAATGTGGGAGAGTATCGACGAGAGGCCGTGAAGCAGTACAGCTCTTACAACTTCTTCCGACCTGACAACGAGGAAGCCATGAGAGTCCGGAAGTAAGCCTGAGCTGCCGTCGGTTTCCTCTCTCTGTCTCTGTCTGTCTGTCTCTGTCTCTCTCTCTCTCTGTCTCTGTCTCTCTGTCTGTCTGTCTCTCTCTCTCTGTCTCTTTGTGTGTGTGTGTGTGTGTGTGTATCTATACACTTGTGTGGTGGCATTTCCCGCTTCACAATTAAATGTATCTATACATGTGGGTGAGTGTGAGTCGGTGTGTGTGTCCATGCCTGTGGAAACTTGTTAGGTATATTCCTCTATTGTTTCTCTATTTTTGGGGACAGAGTCTCTTTAAAAAGTTACTTTATGTGTATGGGTTTTTGCCTGCATGTATGTTAGTGCCTGTGCCTGGGGAGGCCAGAAAAGGGCATTGGATCCTCTGGTGCTGGAGTTAAAGCAGATTGTGGTCTCCAAGTGGGTGCTGGGAATCAGACCCAGGTCCTGGAAGGGCAACAAGTGCTCTTAACTGCTCAGGCATCTCTCCAGCCCTAGACAGGGTCTGCTGATGAACCTGGAACTAGCTTGCGGGGCCAGTGAGCTCTGTGGACTTGCCTGTCTCTGCATCCCCAGTGCTAGGGTTGTAGAAAGTGGCACCATGCCTGGCATTGAGGTGAGAGCTGGACATGCAAACTCATGCCCTCATGCACGGGTGGCAGACAGTGCTTTGCCCAAACTGAACCACCTCCGTAGGCCTCTTGTTAGAGGCGGGCTCTGTTACTGTGGAATTACCAAGTAGGCTAGACTGGTTTGCGGCCAGTGAACCCCAGGGTTCTCCACCTCCCTGGCACTGGGATTACAAGTGCACACCACCAAATCCAGCAGCTGCGGTTTCCCCCTCCTCCTTCACGTAGGCTCTGAGAATCCAACTCAGGCTGCTGTGCTTGCAAGGCAAACACTTCACTGTGAGCGGAGCTGTCTTCCTACCCTGTGGCTTCCTTTGTTTTGAAGCCGGGTTCTGTAAGAGGAAGACCTGGCCAAGCTGGTTCTTTGCTGGTGGCCATTATTAGAACTAGTTAGCAGCAGGACAAGTCTCTTGGCCTCTCTGTGACTGGCTGCTTTGATCTGCTCCCAGAAGTATGAACTGAGCCATCCAAGACAGTTCGACAGCAGCCACACGCCAGGAGCTCAGGAGCGAACAAAGTCCTTTTCATTGGAAATCATCAGTTTGCATTTTGCAAAAGAGTTCTTAAGCTGCAGGTGACAGGGCGGTGCTTTTCTGTTCTGCGTGGTGCTGGAATCAGCCTGGGTGTGGGAAGAGATCCCGATCTCTGATGCCAGGCACAGTCCCAGGCATGCCCAGTGAGGCTCTCTGTGTGTGCTCTGGCATCCATTTTTATTTTATTAGTACTGTTGTTTTGTTTTGTTTTAAGTTAGGGTCTTGTTATATAACCCTGGATGGCTTGGCACTACCTTATATAGCTCGGATTGGCTCAGATCTGTCTTCCTGTCTTAGCCTCCAGAGTACAGCTTTTTTATATTATGAATCTTTTGCCACCCTGTCTGTCTAGCACTGATTTTTTTTTTTAATTTTTGCGATAGGGTCTTATGTAGCCTAGGCTTGCCTTGAGCTTTCTATGTAGCTGAGGTTGAGCCTCTAACCATCTGGCTTCTACTCCCTGGTACGAGGATGATAGACTGTGTCACCAAACATGGTTTTATACTGTGCTGAAGACTGAACCCATGGCTTTATTCATGCATGTTAGGCAAGCACTCTACTATATCCCTTGCCCTTGGCACCAGTTCTTAAAAAGTTCCCAGATTTGATTTTTAAGCTGAGCATGATTCACGGTTTCTATAGACTAAGTTCCTGACCCAGGTAAGCTACAGAGTAGGTTCAAAGCCAGACTGGATAACTTAGTGAGACTCTGTCTCAAACTAAAATGGAAAAAGGCCTGGAGCTGTTGTTTTGTTGCAGAACACTTGGTTAGCATGTTCAAGGCCTGGATTTCAGTTCCCAGTACCATAAGACAAAGAACAAAAGATTAAAAGATTAAAGAAGGCCATGCCTGGTAACAGGTGCCTAGACTCTCCACACTGGAGAGCTAAGGTGAGAGAATTGTTGGGAGTTTGAGGCCAGCTTGGGCTACAGAGTTGAATGTCAGCCTGGGCAGTGTAGCTGCACCCTGCGTGAAAAAACAAAACAAAACAACCCACAAAGCCAAATACAAATGTTTCTCAGGGAAATTGATCCTATCATGTAGCCAGTCAAGATGGCTGCCTCCCTCAGCTGTGTGGATGTGAGTGTCTGTCTGTGCTGGTCCCCAGGCGGGAGGCCCCTGACCTAAAGAGGCCTGGCTAGCAATGAGCAACTTGGAACTGGAACTTGAGTGTGTGTCACAAAGGATGTGGCTGCTTGGCTGGGCCTGCTCTGACCGGTGCCTTCCTCTTGTGTGTTTGCAGACAGTGTGCCTTAGCTGCCCTGAGAGATGTCAAAAGTTACCTGACGAAGGAAGGAGGACAGATTGCAGTAAGTCTGGGGGACACAGGCACCTCTGTCCTCATTGGCACAAGTAGTGTGGAGAGCTACTGTAGAGTAAGAACAAGGACAAATGGCTGTAAGGGTTTAGGGACCAAGTGGCCCAATGCAGCTCATGACTCAACTGTGTCGGGATGGATGTTGGGACATAGCTCTGTCACTCACCTGTGTAATGGACATCTGGGCACCACCTCTACTCTGTTGCTGTGAGCCCCAGCAGCCAGGGGTCATTCCCTGGTCCCTCATTGTGTGTTACTGCTTGTTAGTTCCTCTGCCCGATGCTGTGCCTGAGCACCGTGGGCAGAGAGTGAGGAGGGAGTCTGGGAGCACCATAGAGAGGTTAGGGATAGGACACACCCTATCTAGAAGGAGGAATTTTTGGGCTTATTTCTGGAAAACAACAGGTTGAATTCCTTGTGGTTTGGTTAAGCGTTGCTACCAGTTTCTCTGAGCCTTCTTCCTCTCTATCAGGTTTTTGATGCCACCAACACTACTAGAGAGAGGAGACACATGATCCTCCATTTTGCCAAAGAAAATGACTTTAAGGTGAGCCAAACCTGCCTTTCCAGCAAGTTCAGAGAGGAAAACACTTTGGGAACAGCGGATTGCCTGACTCTGGCTTCAGCCTCTTTCTGTCAAGTTGTTGTTGAGGCAGGGCTGTTGGAACGCACTCTGTAGCACAGGCTGGCTTCAAACCTGCAGCTGTCCTGCCTCAGTTTCTAAGTGTTGGGATTTGTGGGTGTGAGCTTCCTCTCATGGCTAGTTGCACATTTTTGTTGCCTTAAAACCAGGTCTTCCTTGTGGCATGATGCCTGGGGACAGTGGAGCCCTCCCTCCCTACCTGGGGGAGGGTGAATGAAGGCCATGGCCATGCAAAGTTGGAGTTTTATGGAGACCTTTCCCAATCCCCCTCCCCCATTCATTTTTTGGTTAGCAAAGGGACAAGTGCCTCTAGAGCTAAAGCTCAAGCATGAGCGCGCGCGAGCGCACACACACACACACACACACACACACACACACACACACACACGTTACTGAGACATAATGAGCATTATTATATTGTGTTCCTATTGGTCCTCCCATCTTCTCCAGGCCCCCTTCCTCTGACTTACTGGTCCTCGTCTACTCCCCAGTCACCTATTTCATTAACCTGTCCTCCCTTCAGCCTTCTTCCTCTGCCACGTAGCCTGCCTTCTCCCCCACACATTTAAATCTAGGTTTTGCATATAAGAGGAAGCGGAAGTTTGAGTCTAGCTTACTTTGCATCTCCCCAGCACCATCCTTTCCCTGCTGGTTTCCTTTCTTGTATCGCAGTGACATCAAAGTTGGCCTTTTGTGGGTTGTTTTTACATTTCTGCCTTGCTTCCTTCCTCCAGGCCTTTTTCATTGAGTCCGTGTGCGATGACCCTACTGTTGTGGCCTCCAACATCATGGTAAGACATTTAAGGAGCCCTGTTTGTATATGGCCACTTATACCTTGAGATCGTTTGCAGTCTTGGTTGGGATAGGGTAGATAGAGGAGACAGGGAGTAGTTTCACCTGGTGGCAGATGCTGAGTGATAGAGTAGCCAGGGATGATGAGCAGCTCATCCTGACATACAGGAAGACCATCCAGATGTTCACTTTTTGCTTTCCAGGGCCCTGGTAGGGAAGGTTGCTTTTATGTGAGCCAAAGCCTCCAAGGCTCAGTATCCCAAAGACAAAGCTCCCAGATTTGGAGAGAAAGGGTGTAGCCATGTGCCCTCCCTGTCAACTCTACTGTGCCAGGGGTTGTTTGTCTAGATAAGTCAAGGTCAAGGGCAACATCATTTGATTAAGCCTTTGTTTTATTACTTGATAACAATAAATCACAAACAGAAATTAGTATTGCAAAGACTTTTTCACAGGCCAGTTTTGGGGTGTGTGTGTGTGTGTGTGTGTGTGTGTGTGTGTGTGTGTGTGTACACACGTGATGGAGGTAGGCACATGGGTCACATAAGAATGTAGAGATCTGAGCTGTCTCACCAATTCACAACTTCTTATGGTTTTAGATCATTTTCTTTTCAGCTTTGTTGTTGTTGTGTGTTTGAGGCAGGATTCTCACACTGTAGCCCAGCCTGTTCTGGAACACCGTGTAGCCCAGGCTAATCTTGATTTTGAGGCAAGGCTCCTGCCCTGGTCCTCTAGTGATGGGATTATGGATGTGATTTCCAGTTTAATCATATTGGAATAGGACATGTTTATAAAGAAAACCAATTTTTCATAGGGAAGGGCTGCCGGTGATGTGACTGCATATACATACCCAGTATTTATTTATTTATCCATTTGCTTATTTACTTATTTATTATATGGGGACAAGGTTTCACTGTAACCAAGGCTGGCCTTGCTCCCTCTTCCATGAGTGCTGGAATTATAGGTGTATACCAGTATACCTTGCCAAAAATACATCTTACCTTTAAAGGGACACTAAATAAACATTTGTAACTTCTTTCATTGGTCGATTTCTTCAAGACAGTGGGGATGTCTGCAAGTGTTTCTAAGAAACAAGCTCATATTTCAGGAAGAGCGGGTCTAGAGGCTCTGTGTAATTGTCCAATTATAGGGGACTCCTTATCTCAGAGTGGCAGCTCTGAAAGGTAGAGGTACCAGGTCATCACACGGACCATCCGCTGGAACAGATGAAGAAACCCTGCCCAAGAGCAACACTTAGTGTGCCTTTTGTAACTGGAGGCCTGCTCCTGGTGTGCTTCTGTGGGGTCCTGCTGAATTGAGGGCCAGGCTGACCCACCTCAGTGTATGGTCCAGATGTGTTCCTTATGGTGTCTCCGTGGTTTCCTGTGTCTGTCTTTCATGGGCACCCTCCCTGTGTAACCATAAGCCCATGAGTCAAGCCTCCTGATCCCCATTCTTTTTTTCCTTTTAGATCCTGGGTAGGATAATCTTTATGCTGAGCATTTCTGGGCTTTCCCCATTTGAAAGCCCAAATCCTGTTTAATCTAAGCAGAAAGCCTTCCAGTATGATTCATCAGCTTCTCTTTGTGATGTTACAGGAAGTTAAAATCTCCAGCCCGGATTACAAAGACTGCAACTCGGCAGAAGCCATGGACGACTTCATGAAGAGAATCAATTGCTATGAAGCCAGCTACCAGCCTCTTGACCCCGATAAATGTGACAGGTGATTCCCAGAGGTTTCCACCCTCAATTAATCCACACGGGGGTTTGAAATGTCTTCCTGATGCTTCCATAAAACAGCTCCCAAATATGTCTTTAAATTCTACAAATGGCTTTGGGAGGGTCCCTGAGGCCCTGCCCTTTGGTGGAGGAGCTATTGGCTGGTGAGGGAGGGCGGGTCCCTCTCTTTTGGGGACACGACTGCTGCTAGGTTGGGTTGCCCATGCCCCAGTGGATGACCTCACCTCCACACATAATGGGCTGCACTAATAAAACATATGAGAGGGGGGCATTTAGAGAGAGATAGTGGTGGGTAGGATCAAAATGAGGGGTAGCTCAGCAGTTAAGAGCACATACTACTTTTCCCCATGACCAGAGTTCAGTTTCCAATAGCCACATCAGGCAGCTCACAACCAATTGTAATTCCAGCTGCAGGGGAATCAGCTGCCTCTGGCCACCTCAGGTTCCTGCATTTAAGGGAACACACACACAAATAAAAAAGAAGTCTTTAAAAAGTATAGATGTATAGGTCTGATGATGGGGGCACACACCTTTAATCCTAGTACTCAGGAGGCAGAGGCAAGCAGACCTCTGTGAGTTTGAGGCCAGCCTGGTCTACAGAGCAAATTCTAGGCTAGCCAGGGCTACCCAGAGAAACCCTGTCTTAACCCCCACCCCAATTTAAAAAAAATATACATGTATGAAAGAGTCTTCTTAACTGTTCGTTTGTTTCGACTGGGTCTCACTGTAGCCCTGGCTGGGCTGGAACTAGTTATATAGATTCACAGATCTGCCTGCCCAGTGCTGGGATTAAAGGTGTGTGCCACCCTGGCCAGTTAGGTTTTCTTTCCCCCAAACATCCATACATTTATTTATCTGCTTGTGTTTGTCTCTGTCTCTGTATATACGTACATACATAGGCACCACAGCACACATCTGAAGGCCAGGGGACAACTTTTAGGAGGCCTTTCTCTCTCTCCTCCCACCTTGTGAGCTCAGGGGATCAAACCCGGGTCATCAGGCTTGGTGGCAAAGCAACTTCACTCTCAGCCATGCCATAGTCCCTGCACCTTCCTTTTTGAACCACCTCACTGAACTGGGAGCTCACCGATTTGGCTAGGCGGACGGGCCAGTGAGTTCCAGGGACCCACCTGTGTCTGCCTCCCCAGCTCTGGGACGTCAGACGGTGCAGCTGTGCCTTGCTTTCTTAGAAGCTGCATCTGAACTTGATGTACATACAGGTCTTGTGCTGTGCATTGCTGAGGGAGCCTTGTCTCCCTCCGGCTGTGCTACCTGGCTTGCACAGCCTGGCTGTGGGAATTGTTGCCCTGGTTTCCCCTCTGACTCCTAGAGAAGACTCACAGCAGTCACCGTTATAGGCCCCCAGGGAGCAGATAATTCTAGAAGCTGGCTGGGCCTAGGGTGCGGCCTGAGTGGTGGTCCTAAATGATGTTTCTTTGCAGGGACTTGTCGTTCATCAAAGTGATTGATGTTGGCCGGAGGTTCTTGGTGAACAGGGTGCAGGACCACATCCAGAGCCGAATTGTGTACTACCTGATGAATATCCACGTGCAGCCCCGCACCATCTACTTGTGTCGGCATGGCGAGAATGAATACAACCTGCAGGGAAAGATTGGGGGCGACTCAGGCCTGTCCAGCAGAGGCAAGAAGGTAGAGGAGAGGGAAAAAAAGACATGGGCTAGGGACTGACTGGAGGCAAGAAGATGATGGCTTCCATGTTATAGAGTAGAGGGGTCCTTGGGAGGATGTTGTGGGTTTTTGCTGTTTTTGCTTTCCTACACTGTGTGTCTATATGAGTACATGTGAGTGTGGACTAGCAAGGGGAAGGTAGAATCGGGTCTCTTGGACTCCGATAAGGTTTGAGTGACACTGGAAGTTTGGATGGTCTTGGTGGCTGCCAACATAACAAAACCTGTGGGAGGAACTGGAGCTGGGATGACCTCTGTCTCCTGTGCTCCCTCAGTTCGCCAACGCCTTGGGCAAGTTTGTGGAGGAGCAGAATCTGAAGGACCTGCGTGTGTGGACGAGCCAGCTGAAGAGCACCATCCAGACCGCGGAGGCGCTGCGGCTCCCCTATGAGCAGTGGAAGGCACTCAACGAGATTGATGCCGTGAGTCCCAGGCCCGTGTGGCTGGGGGGAGGCCTGGCAGGAAGTGGAGAGTGGCTTCCTGAGACCACCTTTATTTGAGGTGGCGCTATGGGTGAGTTCCCTGTCGTGAATGTTGGTCTCCCTGGCAGGGTGTGTGTGAGGAACTAACCTATGAGGAGATCAGAGACACCTACCCTGAGGAGTACGCACTGCGTGAACAGGACAAATACTACTACCGCTATCCCACAGGCGAGGTAAGCAAGAGAAGGTCCATTCTCTTGTATGCTGGCCCTTCTTTATAATGGTTAGGAGCTGTGGCGTGGGTTGTATATGGAGGTGGCTGAGAGAAAGCCTTGGGGGCCCCGGCAGGACCAGGTGAGACCTCTACAACCCACGACATCTCTCACCAGTTCTGCAAGCTCATCTCTACTATGGCTTTGGCCATAAATCTCACTAAAGGGAACCCTGTAATATCCCCAAGGAAAGCGCATTGTATTTCCCACAGGGAACAATGAGAAGTCTGTGCATCTGTCTCTAATGATGTGTGTGATGATGTGTGGTGAAGATCAGAGAGGATGGCTGGTGATTCACTCCAGACCAAAGCTTTTCCTGGATGGCAGGAGACTTGGTAGACAGGCTGGCGGTGAGGATGTCATGTTAGATGGCTTGAGCCAGGTCTAGGCCAATGTTGGTAGAGGGACTCTTGAGTTGGATGAAGTGTGCTGAGCCATGTGTACTCTGGGAGTTGAGCCAGGCTGCTGTGTTGACACCTAGTGGGTGTCCTCCCGAGTCATAGTTCCTGGTCCTGGTGGGCCACATGCTGTTTTCTGGTCTGCACTCACTGTAACTAGTTAGGAGGAGAAAGAAGCACAGAAGATTCAGTGTAAGGAGAGCCTTTGCTGGTTTTTTTGTGTTGTAGCTTTGCACTCGTTGTATATCTCAGGCCTACCTTGCTTGCAATCCTCCCCAGTGCTGGGATTACAGATGTGCACCACCAAACCCGGCTACATTTTTGTTGTTTGAAACAGGATCTTCCAGGCTGCCCTGGGTTCATATGAATCCTCTGGTTTCAGCCATCTGAGTGCTGAGGGTTACAGATGTGTACCACGGTTTTCCAAAAGGAGACTGCAGATGTATTAGCAGTCTCCTAGCTTCTAGCTCTGGTGACCACAAATTCCCTGTCTCTAGAGTTGCCCATTCTAGATGTGGTGCACAGAAGGAATCATTCAGTGTATGTAGATGGTGATTCTTAGTGTCTTCCACTTGACATGCAAACATTTGAGGTTCTCCCATGTTGTGGCATGTACCAGGACTTAGTTTCTTTTAACGGCTGCCTGAGTAATAGTCCATGATAGGATCTGGTCTTTCTCCAGTGTTCAAGAGGAAGGAGTTCAGACAGACAGGATTACAGGCTTCCCTCGTGTTTCCTAGGAGTAGTATTTCATTAAATGCAGAGCTGAGCACTTAGAAGGGGGGTTTTGTGTGCATATGGGGGATGGGCTGTGAGCTGGATGGTGAAGGCCACAAGTGATTGCAGGACGCATCCCTGCCTTCTCCTAACGTGCCATCCCACCCCTTTGTTCTCAGTCCTACCAGGACCTTGTCCAGCGCCTGGAGCCTGTGATCATGGAATTAGAGCGCCAAGAGAATGTGTTGGTCATCTGTCACCAGGCTGTCCTACGCTGCCTGCTGGCCTACTTCCTCGACAAGAGTGCAGGTATTGAGGGCAGGTCATATGCAGGAATGAGGGAAGAGGACCCGTCTTCCCTTTCTCTTCCAAATATGAATCTGCCACACAGCCTGCTGAGGGGTCTCTTCTTGCTCCCTACTGAGCAGTGTGATGTTCTGTGGGCCTCATCACTTCATAAAGCAACCTGAGAACCCTCAAATCTCCACGTGACCTTTGGGTTAGGCTTGAGGCTCTCACAGTGAACCTGGGGATGTCCCTGAGTGTCTCCGTTTGCTTTAAGTCTCCTAATTAATGATGATAACATATGTCTCATTTCAGAGGAGATGCCATACCTGAAATGTCCCCTTCACACCGTCCTGAAACTAACACCTGTTGCGTATGGTGAGTAGCAGCCCCTGCTGGGCCTTGACCCCGAGGTCTCCTGGTGGCTGTGGGGCTGCCGATGAGGTCAATCTCCTTAACAGAAGCCATCTTTGTCTTCATCTTCAGGGTGCCGTGTGGAGTCCATCTACTTGAATGTAGAATCAGTGAGCACACACCGGGAGAGATCAGAGGTGAGTTAGGCTCATGTGCACGGGACCCTTGGGAAACCCTGGGTCTGATTTTCTTCTGGAGGGTTCTCACTGAGTTTTTTTGGCGCCCACTGGCCAGCTACCATGCTCCACACCTCCGTTCCTAGCCTGTTTCTCCTGTGGCTTCATGGGATTTGTTTCTTTTCTTTCTGTCCATATGCCCCTTACACACTCCCCCACTCCCCCCATTTCTACTTGACAGGGAAGAGTGAGTTAAATGGAGTTCCTTCCTTCTCTCAAACATTACCCTAGCACAGTAGTCGTTACCAGTTACCACATCAAGAACAAAGTTGTGCCTTCCCAAAAGCACCAGGAGGCTGGCTCAGACAGAATTAGCCAGTCAGCACACCATCTGCGTGCACTTAGGCTCATAGTTAGCAAAGGGTTGAGACAGGAGGCGGGGCTAGGATGGAGTCCTCAGAGCCGGCCGAGGAATGGTCTTCAAAGACTCAGCACCTGGCTGTTACTGTATCCCACATCAGGGAGGTCTGAGATTCTTGGGGGGAGGGAGTGTATGGTCATGTTGAATCCGTTACTGGGCAGATCTCGTATCTGTGCAGGTCTGTGTTGTGAAAGTGGGTTTAAATTTGCTTTATGCAGGCTGTCAAAACACAACACTTTGCCAGTGTAGTCAGACCTTCCTCTTACACCGAACTTGACTTTCTGTCTGTGGAGTCCGCAAAACAGGTGACTTCCCCATTCCCAAGAAGCTTGGCCGTCAGACTTTGGTAGGAAGGGTCCAAGGGGTGTCAGTCAGTTTACTGCCCAGCTTGCACTGTGGACTACACTGGAAGAGGACTGTGTCCCTGGGCTGCCTCGCCCTGCCTCCTGGCCCCACCCCTCAGAAGCAGGGCACATAGACGATGGGCCCATTTAGCTGGTTGAGGACAGCCCCAACATGAGATGGGCTCCAAGGGCCTCTGAATACTTCCCGGCTGAGTGCTGGGACTGAAGCTGCCCTGAGCTTTGAGGTGCTGGCTCATGCATTGGACCCCAGGAGCCCACTCTCCTGTCTTGTCGTCCTTTATTGGAAGGTTGACATCTTGTCCTGGCTGACAGACCGCTGTCTGTTTCCTGCACCCGCTGTACCTCTAGACTGAGGCTGGGTATTGTTTGGGGGAGCACCGTGTATTTCATGGGTGCTTGTGTGTGCTGCAGACTCAGATGGAAGGGAGTTGGCCCTGACACCTTTCCCCTCCCACACCTGTGATCTCAGAACCGACCATCTCTCCTGGGCCCCCCTTGGGTGGGGTGGCTGGGAGTAAGGCTCTATTCTCTGATCCCCCTTCTCTGCTGCGGTTGTAATTTATTTTTCCCTCCCCTGTTGCAAGAGGTTCTGTGCCAGCAACAGGTCAGGGTCAAGGCCACTCACCTGTGTGTCCCTCTGGTTGTACCCTTACAAATCGCAAGAGGAGGGTGTGTGTGTGTGTGTGTGTGTGTGTGTGTGTGTGGCTTTTCTGTCTCCCTGCCCACCCCTTGTAACTGTCTCCTTCTCTCTTTTGTCTTTGTCTGCTTAGGATGCAAAGAAGGGACCTAACCCACTCCTGAGACGCAATAGTGTCACCCCGCTAGCCAGCCCTGAGCCCACCAAAAAGCCTCGCATCAACAGCTTTGAGGAGCATGTGGCTTCCACTTCTGCTGCCCTGCCCAGCTGCCTGCCCCCGGAAGTGCCCACGCAGCTGCCCGGACAAGTCAGTGATTCTGCTTTAATTACTGCCTACAGGGAAGAGCGCACTGGGGAGACGGATCTGGGGCTGTGTTTGTGTTTGCAAGCGAGGGTGTGTGCCTGTGTTTAGGGTGGGCTGCATATGAGGTGTGCAGTAGACTGTGTTTGTGGGTGTGTGGTGTGTATGTGCCTTATGAGATACCCTCTCGGAAGACCTTCCCTTGTCAGCAGTGACTCTCTCCATCCTTTCTGAGGTTGTGGTCTTTGTTCTTTGTTGAGCAGAATCAGACAGAGCAGGAGATACTGTAAAATGTCCCAGTCCTGTGCACAATTTGTGAATAGTACCTCTAGAACAGTCTGTACTCTAGAAATTCCCAATCCCCTTAGAAACAGTCCAGAGCTGGAGAGGCAGCTGAATTGATAATTGATAAAGCCTTTTTCCATGCAACTGTGAAGACCGAAGTTCACATCTCCAGGGCCCAAGCAAAAAGCTGAGTGTGGAGGGACGTGCCTGTAAAATCACTGGGGAGATGGGAGGCAGAAGCAGGTGGATCCCTAGAGCCTGTCAGGTCAACTGGCCAGGCTGGCAGGGACAGTAAGAGACCACCTTTCAACAAAAAGTGGAAGGCTCCTGGAGATTGACATCCTAGACTGTCCTTTAATGCCCGTTCATGTGATGCTTATACTCATCTGCATCCCTATACATGGATGTATGTGTCCACGGTATGTGCATGCATGCATGCATACATACATACACACACAGGACCAGATAGCCAGGATAGCCACCTTTTCACACAGCAGCTATACTATCAGTAGAAAGAAACAGAACCCAGCAATATTTACTACTTCACTAGCTTGAACGATCAAAGGCTGGAAGAGTTTGGTTATTGAGCGTTCGAGTTTGTTTTCAGAAAACCAGTCCTTCAAAGAATGCCAAGAATCTTTGCAAACATGAAATAATGGATTTTACACCAATGCCTGGCTGAATTTCATCTCCATACTAGGCCAACTCTGGCTGTGTCTGCTGCCTACCAGTGCTTTTGTGGACCCCATCCCCCCAAAAGCTTCCCTTTAGCTTTCTGAGGTCTGGAATGTGGTATGGAGAGATCACTGAGGCCTCCAAAGCTCATTTAACCTCCCTAGGCCTTGGTTGCCTAATCTGTGGAATTGGGGAGTAATACACACTGCAAAAAGTGGCGCAGACAAGGTGATTTGTGCAGTACATGTAACTTGGGGTCTGGCACAAAGTAAGGGTTGGGCCCGGTAAGATGGCAGATTTGCTGGGAGCCAGGAGACCTGGCTCTGACTGTAGCTCTGCCACTAACATGAGTGTAGATTTTTCCCCCTTTGACCACACAGGTTCTTAGGCCGTCTTTTATGTAGACTCGAACCTGTGGCCATCCTACCTCTGCTTCCCGAGTGCAGGATTTTGCTGTTTTGTGGAGGGCAGAGTCTCGATGCTTAGAGATTGGCAAACTCACTATGTGGTTGAGGAAGACGTTGAACTCCCGATCCTCCTCCTACCACGTCTCAAGTGCCCTGCCATCCCGGCAGGTGGAAGATTTTAATGGCCAGGCTCAGTCTCCTTAGCTCTGGAAATGGGCACAGGATGGGCTGAGACGACTAGTAGATACTCCTTTAGGTCTGAGAGTTTTCTGTGGCAGTCAAGTGGAACTGAAATTGTATCACCATGCCACTCTATCCTGGTGCATTGTGGGAGTCTTCTGTTGCAGAGACCTGAGGAGATTAACCTAGGCCTGGGGCAGGGGACATCCAGATCTACACTGATCTGGTCATGGAGGGCACTGACAAGAACCCAGCCTTACCCCCCACCTCACAGATGCCTCTGATTTTATTAGGACAGCCATTCAGGATTGCCAGATCCTCAGGGACAGATGTCTGGGGTCTGTTGGCCGGGTCAGACATGGGAAGTGTGGGGGCTCATCTCAGCAGCTGCCATCTGGCCTCCTGACTGACTTTTTCTCTCTCCTTACGTTGTCTCCCTGCAGCCTTTGCTAGGGAAAGCCTGTCTGTAAGTATTTCCTTCTTGGTAATTCTGTCGCTTGCACTCACTCTTGCTTGTTTGCCAGTTTGTCTCCTGACTGATGAAGTATTTAGGATGAGGACAGCTTGGGTAGAGTGTGAGGCTGTCCATAGAAGAGAAAGAGCTGTGAGGAGAAAATTCCCAAACTTTATAGAGAAGGGATGCAGAAAGGGGGTGCGTTGTGGCCAAACTAACAATGTTCAGCACACTCCAACGCCATCAGCTCTAGGGTGCTACTCCTCAGCCCCTCTTGGGGTTCTAGGTTGTGTCTTTAGGGGTCAGTAGACTGGGGCTTCTCATAATGTTAGGTTTCCCTGTTGGGGTCCGATTTTGATGGTGACAAACTGGTGCTTGCTGTCATTTCTTTGCACTCCCTTTCCCAGAGGAGCATCCTTTTATTCTGAATGCAATATTTATCCAGAGCCTAATAATAAAACATGGATCTATCTTGATGGCCTGGAGGTGTGCCTGTCAGTCCCGACAAGGGGCTTTCTCTAGAGACATCCATATAGAAACTGTACGTGGGGATTCCACTTCACTGTATCCACAGCCCCAAGCTTGAGAAACAGGCATGGCCTGGCATTTAGGAGAGCTGTGTAACTCACAGAGAATGGAATGGCCCATCCTTTGTGTCTGTGGCCCTTAAATAAGAGATGCGCAGGTCAATCCTCATGCTGTTTAACAAGATCAAGTGACCCACCAACGGTAGGCAGTGGAACCCGGCCTCAAACAGACTTCTCATGCCCCAGACAGCTAGTTTCTTCCTCCCTGCAAGCTTTTTGGAAAAGTCCAGGTACTGTTTTTCTGTCTCTGATTCTTGAAGCCTGAGGGTACCATGAGCAGCCGCTGGTCTGTGGATTAACCCCCACAGCTTCCCTTGCAGCCACTTACTAAGGGACAGGGCAGACCTGGCTGTTAACTCCCCTCTCGGAAAGAGACGATGTGCTCACCATCCGTGTCTATTGTGGACTGCTTGAGGACCAAGGGTTCTCCTTGCAGAACCTCTGGGCTAGACCTTGTAGTTCAGCTTGTCCATTTCCAACGTGAATCTAATAATGCCTTTGCCTGGAATTCCTTTAGTAATGAAAAAAATGTATCCTATAGACTCATCACTCCTTCTATGATTGGATTCTATTCCAGAGACCCAGAATCTAGCACAGCCAGATCCTGTGGCCAAAATTAATCAATTATTGTTTTATTGAAATAGTATCATCTTAGTTGTCTTATCTAGTCTGGAACTTACTGCGTACCCGAGGCTTCAAACTCAAAGCAGTCCTCCTATCTCACCCTCTGAGTGTTTAAATTACAGGTATGCATGCACCAATTTACCTGGCTTCCAGAATTTATTTTAAAAGTCAGACCAAACCAACAGTTTTAGGAACATTAGGGAAGTTAAACCAGTTTTAAGACTTGGAATTCCGTATCTGTAAATGGGGGGTTGCTTTGATAATGAAAAAATATATATAGCTCATGAGAAATATCTGGCACCTAGGAGAAGCCTGATGGGCGATGGCTGGTGTGCCACCATTTCTGACCTCTCTAGCTTTAAGTGTTGTGCATTTAGGTGATCCTTTGTTCCCTCTGCTCTGTGCCATTGATCTTTCATTTCTCAGAGCAGCCAGAGCGCTTAGAGGCCTGATGTCGTCTTGTTCTTCTGATAAAACAGAATGCCACCCAGACACTGCTCTCTGACCTGGGGGCTGTTGCTGTGCTTGGGATCAAGGGACCACCTGCCATTCTCACTGCATCTTTCATTTTGAAGTTACAGATGCACACTACCATGAAGATACCATGCAGGCTGGCAGTGTAGCTCAGTTGGTAGAGGGTTTGCCTAGCAAGCAAGAGGCCTTGAGTTTGATTCCCCTGCACTGCAAAAAGCAGACATGGTGTGATGCATCTATAGTCCCAGCACTCAGGAGGAGGCAGGACATCTACACTACATATAGTGTTTGAGGTCAGCCTGGGCTAAAACCAAACAGGAAATACTAAAATCTGCTTTGTTTTCTCCTTTTCCAACCTGTCTTTTTTTCCCTCCCCCACTATGCTTGAAAGACGAACTGTCTGTCACATTTTTTCAAAGTTTTCTCCTTACTAACCTGGGAAAGGTAATTGAGCTGGTGCATGTCTCTCTGTTTCCTCCTGCATCTATCTGAGTCATGGCTTTCAGCTGCAGGGCACTGTGGCTTGTGGACAGACTGGCCATTGTGGAGTATGTGGTTCATGTGTCAGTGCTGGGTGGTCTTTCAAGCATTGTCATCGATGTGGGGTCCTTTCCCATCCATCTGTGTGTTCCGAGCCAGGGCCCCTGAGGGAAAGATGTGGACACCACTCACCATATGGCTTGTCACTGTCACTGTTGTATTGTCATGTGTGAATGCTGGAGGCCTTGGGCCTGGGGTGTGGCAGGAGACGTGGAAAGCCTCCCCTCTTTGATCCCACTACGTGGCTGGGGCTCTCTTTCTACACACGATCCAGGGCACTACCGGAAGGGACCCTATTTCACATGGCACTGCTGCCTGGATCCCCGAGGCTCAGTCAGATGTGAGTGGTGACTCCAGGGCAGCCCAGAACTAAGTGTCCCTTCTCTAGATATCCACAGGTAGGCTCCTGCCTGCCTGAAATCCATCTCTCCATGATCCTGCCCCTGGAGTTTGCAGGCCCAGGCAGAATACTTTTATTGGGTATTTCTTTTTTGAAGGCTTAGATGTGGGGGTTTTAGAGAGAGATGCCTGCTGGCCATTGGTAGTATTCAAGGCAAGTGACTTAATATTTTAAAAGGGACCTCAATATCAGCTTTGTGAGACTTCTTGCTAGGGACACATGGGTCCAACACCTGGCAGACTTTAATGACACAGCCCCCCACTGGGTCTCCATTGTATGGCCAAGCATCCCATTTGTCTCTTGTGATCTTTGGAACTCTCTGCCCAGATTGGGATCCCCTGTAGCTGAGTGCAAGGCTCTGTCAGCTGATTCTAGAGAGGTGCTCTGCTGTTCCTGACAGTCCCAGTGGATCTTGACCTGGCTGTGACCAACACGAGAGGGCTGTGTGGCATACGGAGTGGCCTTCAGTTCCTAAAGGGGAGGGTACACAACTTTCCTATCTGCTCCATGGTCTCTTGTCCTCTCTAAGTAGCATTGTCTGAGCCCTGGGGCAGCAGTCACATGCCTGCTGCTCTCCATGCCCTTCTGGCTGGAATCTAGCCCAGTGCTAAACAGAGCCCCGGCCTGTGCCTCTAGCTTCCTCTGTAACCCGGGTATTTTCTGTCATGTTCTGAGACCTACTTGGGCTCTTCCACACATGTTTTGTGATCATCTTCTGCCAGGGGTTTGTTCTTTGGGGGAATGGCGGTGGCAGGTGTCTTGTGGCATGGCTTTGAGCCTTCTGCCTGACAAGCAGTCAGTTCCAGGTCCTGACTCTCCCTCTCTCTCCTGAAACTAGAACATGAAGAGCCCCTGGAGCGGCACTGAGTCTTCCCAGAAGTACTGAGCTGAAACACGGGTTCCATTCCATTTCTACAGCCCGCCTTGTGCCCGCTCATCTGCCTGAGGCCAAATGACCCCAAGGACTTCTGGACTGGGGGACAGTGGAGGTCTGCTGGCTGAAGAGTAGTAGCACCCCTTGAGATGCTGGTGTGGCAAAGACAACTAGGAAGTTCTACAGACCCCAGCTTCCCATGGCAAAGCTGCAGATCTCCTCACCCTCTGTTCTCCTGGGACTTCCAGGGTGTCTGAGCTCACAGACCCCTCTGAAGCATGGGGAGGACTGTAGTTCTAGAGGAGGTGGGATCAGGCCCCTAAGTGGGGGTACTGGGTGCCACCAAGCTCTTCTGTTTTCTTTCTTGGATCCTGGCCTGGCATGTTGATAGCTGGAAGACAAGACTGGTAGATAATCTTGAAATTCAGAGTGACTTAGACCCCAGTTGCCAGAGGCTCAGGGATGTTCAAACACTCACGTGACTTTTATACATCTTGGCCTGGGAAGAGGCCTCAAAGATAAGGGACTTGGACACATGCTGCATTGGGTGTGGCGGTTCTCCTTCTGAGGAGTTCCTGAGCTCACTGGTCAGCTGAGCAATGACAGGCCCTGGCTCCTCCATTCCACATCCCTTCTAGGTCTCAAGTTAGGGGACACACTGGGTGCCTCTGTGGAAGGAAGCTTTTTGCTGAAAAATAACCGGGGCCCCCTCTTCCCATTGGCCCTTAGGCCTTCTGTTCTCCGACCTGGGCCTGGAGGCACCTGATCTGACCCTGTGGCTGGCTGTTTGTTTTGCACTTTCCTTCTTTTCTTCCTCTCTCCCTTACCCCCTCTCCCCCTCCCTCCCTCCTTCCTTCCTTTCTTCCCTCACCTTTTTCTTTTTGGGGCAGAATTGTGACCAAAAGTCACACGCCACTTCAGGAACTTAGATGGCAGGTGTTGGCCCTTGGAGGCTCGGAGCTGCTGAGTGGGAGGAGCTGGAGTGTCTGAGGTGGGGAGGCTCAGAGCCTTCAGCCTCAACCTCACACTTTACTTACATTTCCCAAGAAGGGATGGTGGTCCAAGTAGGGCTCGATCCAAGCTGCTTGCTCCTAGAGCTGTCTCCCATGTTTCGGCCTAGTATCTGTTGTATGCCTGATACTACCTTGCTGGGCATCTCAAGGAGTTCCCAAGAGTCGAAAATTGTCCTTGTTGGCTTTGTGATTTCTGCGACATTTTTGCATGGCCTGAAAGCAGTGCTGATGTAACTACCTACTGTTTTTGTCTGCCTGTTTCTCCCCCTTTATCCACCCAAGTTCTGGGGGAGGAGAGGACATCCTGGAAGAAACCATTTGGAAACTATGGTTTTTGCCCAAATGAACCTTTAAAATGTGTCCCATAGCTGGTGCCTTCTCCTATCCTCCCCAGCTCAGGGGACAGGTCCTGGGGTGACACGAGGACAAGTTTTGGATGCTTTAAAGTCACTTTGTGACTTTCACAGCTAACCACTCGAATTCTCAGTCCAGCCCACTCTCCTCTAAATCTATGGTCACAGAGAGAGGACTATATACATAAGACGGGGACTGTTTCCTCTCAGAGTCTTGACAAGGGTATATGCAGTGCGGACTTGTGCCCAGTTGTACACAGGCTGGTAATACCTTTAGACCTGGGGACCTACAGTGTTGCATTTGGCAGGTGGGTAGGATCTTAACTGTGTAACCCAAACTAGCCTCAAACTTAATGGCAGTCCTCCTGTCTCAGCCTCCCAAATCCAGCACTGGGGAAATAAGCTGAGCCTGTGATGCCTGGTAGTGTGGCTTTGTTCGTTTCTTAGCTGCCCCCTTCTGAGCACATCTACTCTCTAGTTACAGAACCAGCTCTTAGAACATAGAGACTCTCAAGGCCGAGACAGGTAGGCATGGTCCCCTGTGACTAACTTAAGTCAGTACGATAAGCGAGAGCTTTGCCCGATGTGACTTCATGTCTTGTGAAGGCCTGTGGAGAAGATCAGGAGATTGTGAACGGGCGGAACATAGCTTGATCCAAGATGCTGTGACTGTATGGATGGGGTGGCATCACTCACAGAACTTCCACACTCCCACCAAAACCAAGGAAATAAAATGGGACCAATGTTTTTAACTTTGCATATTTTTTGATTTGGGGGTAGATTTCTTCCATTCCCTTAAACCATGGACAACACCCTTCATTTATGAGGAGAAGAAAAACTGTTGGAACCACACCAATGATATTTTCATTTGTAATACTTGAAATTTATTTTTTTATTATTTTGATAGCAGATGTGCTATTTATTTATTTAATATGTATAAGGGAGCCTAAAAATAGAAAGCTGTACAGATTGGGTTTAATTGTTCATTGGTTTGGGGCCTATCTATGTGTGATTGATGACTTCTTCATGTTCTGTGTAATTGTCTCTCTCAAGGACCTGGGAAGAAGCCATGCAAGCTTTTAAACAGGATATGCCTTTCAGAAATTTGTATATTTTGCAATTGCTAGAACAATAAAAACCTGGTTGAGATAAACCAACGAAACTCCTTTCTGGGCCTTTTGCAGGCACGAGTGTCAGTTTTCTTTGTAGACAGTGTGTGTGGGTGTGTATGCAGAGTGCACACACGTAGAGGGAAACGTGGCAGGAGTCGATCTCTTCAGCCTCCAGAGACTGAACCCAGGCTTGTCAGTGCCTTTACATCTGCGTCAGTCATTTGCCAGGCCACAGAGTGTCCTCATTTGATACTTGTGGCCAGTGCACCTGTCAGCTCCTCGCAGAACCATGTATCATCTTCCTTCAGACAGGACACAACAGATTGTCAAGTTTGTACATTTGGGAAATAATAAAACATGTTAGTTTTAAATGAATAGACTTTTGTTGGTGGCTTATTTTTCTCTTTCCTTTTTCTTTCTTTTCTTTTTTCTTAACAGAGTAATGTATGTATACATAGCCTGGGCTGGCATCAAACTTCTGATCTCCTGCCTCAGTCTCCCAAGTGTTGGGATAGGCATACAGTACCATACTTAGCCTAGACCCCATTAAACAAAAAAGCCTGTGTGTGTGTGTGTGTGTGTGTGTGTGTGCCCACCTGGAGAGGTCAGCTGACAACTCCAGGTGCTGATCCTTGCCTCCCGCCTTGCTTGACACAGTCTCTTGATTGCTGGTGAATATGCTACGCCAGCTAGCCCAGGACCTGAAGATTCCCGGTTCCCACCCTCACCACAGGAGCACTGAGACTAGGTTTCAGTGGGTTCTGGGAATCTGAACTCAGGCTGGTGATGTAGTGCAGCAAGCATTTTACTCACTGAGCCATCTCAGCCCCTCCATGCCCTGTCCCTCTAGAGCTGGAGTTGACTTTAGGGATTCACAGGTGCTGGATAAGAGCTGTACCACGGGTGCTTCCCAACAAGCTTGATGACCTACCCGGTGAAAGAAAACCATCTACCAAGTTATCCTCTACCGACCCCCCCACACACACACACATGTGCTGTGTCAGCAAGCCTGTGCCCCTCTTCCCTCAAATGATTTTCAAACTTCAACGTCTTTGTCCTTACAGATAGCCAAAAGTTAAGAGCTTGTTTTTGTTTGCTTGGCTTTTTTAAAACTCCCAAGCATCAAGGTCTTCATCTCTACAGATTGAGGAAAATTGAAGACTGGATGAGAATATATATCCAGTTTAAACCTTACACACCCAGAAGTTGCCCTGATGCCCAAATCCCTTTAGCCCTAGCAAAGAGAACAGCCCTGGGAAATCTCCATGCTGAAGTGGCTCCTGGAGCAGTCAGAAGCTGCGAGGGGACAGAGAGCTATAGGCTTCCATGCTCTCTGACTCCCCAGCTGCTCGCTGGGTGTTGGATATAGGTGATAGAGCTCTGCAGTCTGGTCCCATCTCATAGAGTATCTTCTGGGAGAATGAAAGACTACTAGGGCTATGGATAGAGCACTTACTTTGCTTCTGCAAGGCCCTAAGTTTGATCTCCAGCATGCTTCTTTCCCCGGTTACATTTTTTTAAAAAGCTATGTGTGATAGATATACCTGTAATCACAGCACCTGGGAATTTGAGGCAGGAGGATCATGAATCTGAGGCCAGCCTGGGCTATATAGTGAGAGTCTGGCAAAAAAAAATGAATAAACAATATCCCTCAAAGGTATGGATAAAGAAGATAGGCTTATAGACACAATGAATTTTTTCAGCTGTAAAAACCAAAGTTTTAGTTGTTTCCTGTTGTTTGCAGGAAAATGGATGCAGCTGAGTAAAATCATAGTAAGTGATCAAGTCAGCCCCAGATATTGAATGTTTTCTCCAGCTTGTGGATCTTAGGTGAGTGTGTGGCACATTTTCTTGATTAATGATTGATTTGGAGGGCCCAGCCTACTGGTGGTAATGCCACCTCTAGGCAGGTGGTTCTGGATTATGTAAAAAAGCAAGCTGAGGGATCCATGAGGAGCACGTCAGTAAGCAACATTTCTCTATGGTCTCTGCATCAACCGTTCCCCTCCCCTTCCTGTTTTAAGTTCTGCCCTGAATTCTCTTTGGACTATAACTGTAACCTGAAGTAAACCCCTTCCTCCCTAAGTTGTTTCTGGTCATGATGTTTTCTCATAGCAATAGAAAGCAAAGCAGGACACAGTCCATCATGGCAGGGTGTCACACAGGTCAGACCTTGTCACATTGCATCTATAGTCAAGAGGGAGAGTCAGATCTTGCTCAGTTTGCTTTCTCCATTCTATTTAATCTAGCATCCTTTGCCCAGGGAATGGTCCCTCCCACAATTAAAACGAATCTTCCCACATAAGAAAGACAATCCCTAACAGACATGTCCAGACGATCACCTCCCAAGTGAGTCTAGACTCCATCAATTTGACAACACTAACACTGTCTAAGGAAACAAAGCAAACTGATGCGAAGGTGACAGCTTTAAAATGGGAGGGCAAGAGGTAAGGGGAGAAATATGCTCAAAGTATATTATATATTTAGATGAAAATGTCCTCGTGCAACCCAGGACCATGTACTATGAATACATGCCAATTAAAATATTAAAGAACAAACAATAGTCTGATATGGTGAAAAAACACCCACGGACACATGTTGATGTGTGTTATATGATACTATGATCTAGTCAATGCTCCCTGGTGCCCTAATTAGTTGACCAGGTTTTCCAATACCGTTCATTAAATAACTCCAAGTAAAGATAGTCTCAGCTGTGCTTGGTGAGGAGCCGAAAGGGAGTCTGAAAGCCCAAGCAGGCATCAATCTTGCCTGAGGTTTCTCCTGAGCTTGGGGCAGGAAGCACTTGGTCTGGACCATGTAGACTCAGTTCCCAGGTAAGACAGATCCTCATGTCATTTCCTGGCAATGAACATGCTTACGCCACACTCTTACTCCATCTGATTCACTCACTGAAGCCTTCACATCTTATTCTGTCAGCCAAAGCTACTGGCTGTGGACACCCGTTTCTGCCGTTGGGAGTGAGAGTATTCATTGTTCATCTGGCCCTGGTGATGTGTGCCTTGTCCTTTGAACAATGTGCTTTACCCCACAGCTAATGGGGCCTTGCCTGGGGATAGCCCTGACTATGCCAATCCTCACTTGTCAGCTCTTTTGACCTCTCTGCTGGGATCCCAGCCAAATTGGATTATGTCTGAGTGGTTAGATGCCACAACTCATCGGTTTGAATTCAGTCGTTTTTAATCAGAGTTGCACAACATGGTTGCCTAGCAAGATCTCCACCTGGGAGATTTATGTGTTTATTTATTTACGTGTGTGAGTTTGTGTGGTATTAGGACCATTGCACAGAGGTCAGAGGATCACATTGGGTGTCCTGTTGTATTACTCTCTGCCTTATTTCCTTGAGCCAGGGCCTCTCAGTGAACCTGGAGGTAGGGTAGCAACCACCAAGCTCTAATGCCTTTGCCCTGTACAGTGTTGAGATTACATGGGGTAGAGGGCGGGGTGGGGTGGACATGTGCTGGAGATTTGAACTCAGGTCTTCAGCATTGTGTAGCAAGCACCCTTACCCACTGAGTCACCTCCCTGTTGAGATTTATAATGTGAAGACCCAAAGCATTCTGTGTTGGAGAAGGGCTTGTAGTGTCCTGTGTGATCCTGAGAGAGACTGGTGGAGATTCCCTGGTCCAGACAAACATTGTAGGTAAAGGAGAAAAGTGTATTCATCTACATGAGGCATCTAGAATGAGTCATAGAATGTTGGTTCATATAACAGAATAGTGATAGCCAGGAGTTAGGGGGAGGGAGCTATGGCAGTCGAATAAAGTTTCTATTGTAGAAAATAAAAAGCTCTAGAGATCTTCTGTATAAGATGTCTCTGAAGTCAATGGTACAGTATCGTGTACTTTATTTTTTAACTATATTTGTTTACTTTGTTTTATGTGTGCGTGCTTGAGTGTATGTCTGTGTAACTTGCTCACTAGGCAGGGTGATGGTACAGGGATGTATGCACACCTTTTGGCAGGTGGACAGAGTTCCTTATGCGGCCCAGCTGGCCTCAAACTTGTGACCCTCCCACCTCAGCCCACAGTGTTGGGATTGTAGGAATGTGCAACCACACCCAGATAATTTTTTTGGTGTAGATCAAGTATTCAATAATTTTTTTTTAGTGAGACACACACAAAGTTAAGAAACAAAACAAAACAACGACAACAAAAATGAACTCTGGGCTGGAGAGATAACTCCAGCAGTCAGTCAATCTAGCCTAACCAGTGAGCTCAGGTTCAGTGACAGATCCCATACCAAAAAATAAGGTGGAGCCTAGGGAAGACACCTGATGCCAACCTCTGTTCCCTCCCTCACAACTCAAGCATGTGCACGCCTGTATCACACACAGACACACAGACACAGACACAGACAGACAGACAGATACACACACACACACACACACACACACACACACACACACACTTGCTAAGCACCCACCAGATTCTCCTGTAAATGAATGTGCACCCAGGGTAGAGGTAGGATCTAATGTGAATGACGACCTTCTGGCCCACAGGGCACAACCTTCCACGAGAGGAGCTCATCACTGTGTGGACATGGTTTCTAGCAAGGTCAGTGTGCCTCTTCTTTCTACACTGCCTGACCTCATCCTTCTTCTCCAGTGTCTGTTTCCTTATTGCGTGTGTCTTGATGTCAGGTGGTCAGAGATGCTTTCTAGCAGGGAGAAAGCTGAAACAACTCAAAGCATAAAGCCATCTTCCAGTCCATCAGGACAGTGTCTCTAGGTTTAAGTTCTTCCCGAGGTCTTGAGTTCTAGTAATTCCCGTGCCAAGGCATTCTGAGTATGTGAAACTATAGGCACATAACTTTTCTGCTTTCTTCTAGTCTTTTCTTTAAAAACAATTATTACTTAATTAATCAATTAGTTAAATTTTCCCAGCTCCATCACAGTTTCTTCTCCCTCCATCCTTTTCTCCCAGCCTTACTCCCATCCCCAATCCATCCCCTTTCTCCTCCCTTCAGAAAAGGGCAGGACTTCCTTGTATATTAGTCAGCCATGGGATGTCAAAGTTACAGC